TTTCATTCATAGATAAGGTGGCGGCATGTATGTAAAAATTGATGTTTAGGTTTTAGATATGTAAATACAAAAGAATTAAGTGGAATGACGTAAATCTCCAAACAAATAAAACCGAACATTGTGCCACTTTGATAAACTATATCTTTCAGCTTAAGATTTAAACATTAATTCTCAATCTAACATAAAGAGTTGTGCCATGTAAAAAAGCGCGAAAAAATTGTCACAAACATCGACGGAGATTGCAGACAATTATAAAGACTGATATACTTAGCAGTAGCAGTTCTCATATTAAAGAAAATATGAAGAATAAATAGGACTGCAAGCTCCATTTGGGTGTCTAAAAAAACCGATTATCAACCAAGACCTATAGTCAAAGAAATTTAAATTACAAATCAAGACTGTTTAAAATGTAAAGCTTAATCTCAAAAATTGAAAGAAACAAAACAGTTCAAAATCAAACACAATGAACTTACCAGAAGGATTGCTTCAACACTTGTCCTCATTCCCTCCTTCATATAACTAGCTCATAACAACAAATTCATTAATGCTAACCATGATTCAAGATTTTATGGTTCACAGGACCCAAACAATCGAAAGCTAAAAGAAAGATAAGAGAATATGTCTAAACTAATAGACTTGACATCAGACTCACGTAAAGTTTAATAAAAAAAGGTGTTGTTAGAATTTCTAAGCATTAATACCAGATATATGTTAAGCACTTCCATTAAGAAGAAAGGAAATTTACATGCATACCACACAATTCTTATGTATTTACATATCTAACACCCAAGTTTAATATTTACAATTATGCACCTTGGTGTCAAAAACATATGCATGAAAAAGTGTTTTTTCACTTTAAAAAGATAGTGATGGTGGTATTTTTGATGTGATGTTGAAGAATTGGTTGGTATGCATTCAAATATGAATGTTTAGGTGTTCGATATATAAAAATGCATAAGAATTGTGTGATATGTATGTAAATGCCCCAAAAAAATAAAGCTGCCCTCTGAGCCGAGAATCTCTATAAGCACTAAGCTATTGGCAGCCAACATCTTTGCTGGTGAAAGAGGTAGAAATAGGCCAAGTCCTGATGTATTGTGGTACGAGTCGGCAAGGAGAACAACGGCTAAGAGCGGGCTTAATAGTTAAGGAAAGATAAGAAGCTTAGAGTACCATGCAGTTATAGCAAAGTGGAAGAAGAAAAGGTATATTAATAGATTGCATGTTATATAACATCGGATTAGAGTAAATACAAATATAATAGATAAAATTATTCCATCGTGAGATCTCTTTATACTTCGGATTTTTAGCTATTGTTTTAATAATCAAGAAAGAGGTAATAAGAAGAATTAAAGATAGTGAAGATAGAGCAGGAATCAAACGAGACAAAAAAGGGGACATTTGGGGCTTGCAAATATAGTAGAGCATTTATCTTTATTATAATGGTGGATGTCATGTAGGTGAATCTCACCAACTCTCTTGTGTCCTTTTCCTAGTTTTACAGTTAAAAGATTATTTTTTCAATTTTTATCATTTTCATTGCTCTCCAACGTGTGCTTTTCCCCGAAAAAAAATAGCTTTATGCATATGAAAAAACTTCAAAACAATCTTATTGTTGAAATTCAAAATAATGCGGAATAAAGCAGAATAATTTAATTGATATGAAATAGGTATAAATAAACTTTCATAAATCCTAGAATAGAAAAGATAATAACAAAAATAACATGAAAGGAAAGATATATCACCTAATATCTTCAATTAATCAATTCATATTAATTATTTGCAGATAAAGGAAATAACATAAAATAGAAAAACCTAAAATAGAAAAGAAAATAAATCCAAATCATGAAAATAAATTTAATACTCATAAGAATAAATTATTTCCTAATATAACTTTTAACTCTCCCCCTCAAGTTGAAACATGGTTGAAAAACATGTTCAACTTGGATTTGAAACCATCAAACAATGGGAGAGAAATAAACTGTGAGATAGAACTTGAAGTCTTTATCCCGTACTGCGGTTGTCTTTGACTGTAGTTTCTGCAGTGTTTGTAAGTAGGCTGAAGCTTCTTAGAGATAATGCTACAGAAGAGTTTGCAGAGAATTAGACACTTAGGTTGTCTTTAATTGTTGTTTATGCGGTGTTTAGGTAGGCGAAAGGCTCATACAAGTAATACCGCAAGGGAGTTTGCAGAAAAGTAAACAACTGCGATTGTTTTTTACTGCAGTTCCTGTAGTATCTATAGGTAGACAGAAAGCTCCTACAATGAATGTTCTAAGGGAGTTTGCGGGGAAGTAGACAACCTGCAGGAAAAAATGACTTCTAGTTGATTGCGGCTTTCTTTAACTATAGTTCCTACAATGTTTGTAGGTAGGCGAAAGGCTTATGCAGGTAATATTGCGAAGGAGCTTGCAGGAAAGTAGACAATCTGCAGAAAAAAAATTGCAAGTTATGACCTGCAAAAAAAAGAAAGAGCTTTAGAGGTAAGCTTGTTGCAGGGAAAAAAAAACTTCGGAGAAGAGCCTGATACAAAAAAAAAAACTCTGGAAGAGGGTCTGCTGCAGAAAAAGCTCCAAATGAGGGTCAGTTGCAGGAAAGATTACAGAGGAGCTGATGTAGAAAAAAACTTTCCGAGAAAAGGTCTACTGCGGGAAAAATTATGCAGAGCCTAATGCAGGAAAAAAACTCCAGAAAAACGCCTTGCTGCAGAAAGAAATCTCCAAAGAATGGTCTGATGCAGGAACAGGCTCCAGAGGAGGGTCTGCTGCACAAAACAACTTGATATGGCATTACTTCATCTGATCAGTGTCCCCCTGCCTTCATTGGTCGCCGCCATAAGAGGGCCTCAAAGACTACACTTTTCCTCCTATCAGTTGGAATCGAACAAATGAGAGCAATGACAGCGAAAATCATTCCCAAATCCACTCGACCAGATCTTGAGCATCCATGATCGATAAAATCTTCTGATTGATTGTCTTTACAAATACTTGAAATGTTTCTGCCTTGAGAAACTGAAGCACCTTTTGTAGGACCAACTTTAAGGCTGCCTTTCTAGTGAACCTCTCGGAAGCTCTGATCTCCAAAGCATTAGCAAGACCCTACCTCAGAGTTGTTTTCCTTCAAATTCTCTTGACTTTTGAAGGTTCTACTACGAGAAACTCCCCCTCCCCATCAACAGCACCTCTAACTTTTAGTGCTTCTTCTTCTTATGAAGCTCTTAAAATGAGCAATTGCATCATAAACCTCCATCCACTTGGTCATCTTGAATGTCTCCTTATTTTTGTTGGCACCCAACAAAGCTACAACCTTGTTGAGTTGTGCCCTGCAACTATTGGATTAAACAGCCAAAAACCTAATGTACATCTCCACCGCCCTTGCAAACTTCTCAGCATCCATTAGCAGGCCCCCACGGTTATACACCGCATCTAAATGGTCGGGTTTGAGATCGGTAGCCTTCTGAAATTCTTGAATTGCTCGCCTGTCCTCACCCATCGTATGCAGGGCGGAGCCTAGGATGTAGTAGGTATCAGCATAGTCTGGACGCAGAAAGAAAGCTTCTTTAAGAGCCTTCTCGATGCCACGGCACTCGCCCGCTCCAAAGAGCACACATCTGAGTAGTTTAATGGCACGAAAAATGATTGAGGAAGAGAATAGTGGCCTCACGATAACGCTCACAGGCGCTCATCACCATACCCTCTCCCACGAGCGAGATCCCAAGGTTCACATGGATCTGGGGAAAAGGTTGTGCCCACTTGTTGTCGCTTGCCTTGGCAGCATCACAAGCGAAAGAAAAAAAAAACTCTTCTTCGCGATTCAATCCCCCGTCAACATTAAGATCGAATCTCATGAAGATGTATCGGACCTTCTCAGCCCGCAGATTTCTGGTTGCCGATAAAGACATCTCTGCGGCCGCCTACTAACTGGACAGCGACGAGGCAGTGCTTTGCAACAAAGGCATAAGAGGTAAGCGAAAAGCACCTGCAGAAGGAAATTTATGACGAAAAAAACTGAAAAAGGAGAAAGTGCCTGCAACATGAAAAAAGTTGTTGGCTGTTGAGAATAGAAATTTTTCGGTGGAAGGAGATTCTAAAATTTTTCAAGGCTCTGATATCATGTTGAAATTCAGAATAATACGGAATAAAACAGAATAATTTTATTGATATGAAATGACATATAAATAAATTTCTTACATGAATCCTAGAATAGAAAAGACAAAAAAAGGAAAATAACATAAAATGAAAGATACATCACCTAACATCTCCAATTAATCAGTTCATATAAATTATTTGGATATAAAAAAACAACATAAAATAGAAAATTCTAAAATCAAAAAGGAAATAAATCCAAATCAATAAAATAAATTTAATCATCATATGAATAAATTAATTCCTAATATAACTTCTAACACTTAAGTTACAAGAAAAATTGGTTTCAATTGCAGAAAAGAATATAAAATTAAAGGGATGAATGACATTAACATTTTTATTTAATTTAAGGATGAAAAAATGAAGTTTAAACAGTATTCCTTGAGAACCACTAAACTTTTATTTTTATTTTTTGCTATACAAGCTTGTAATGGCCTGTTTTGTTTGGGGTTTACATTAAACTATGTAAAGTTAAGCTAAACCTTTAAGCAACATTAACTTGTTTGATTGATTAAAAAAAAACTAGGTTATTTGATTGATTAAAAGTAAAAGTTGGTGTAAGTTAAGATGAGCTGAGAAAATTATTTGGTTTGCATTTTGAAATGAGCACATTTGCTTAATCCATCACGGTATCATACTTTATGACTAAGCATGAATTTTTCTTAATAAATAGCATTTAGGGTATGTTAGGAAGGCTATAGCTTTTCGCAGAGTTGGTTATAAAATTGTTATGGGAAAAGCAACCTTTTGAAAAAACTATTGTAGGAATTATAAATATTTTTAAAAAAAAAAGTAAGACAAAAATTTTATTATAGCTACCGCACTCTAACAGATCTTACTACAAAAAATAGCTTCTTGTAAAAGCAAGCAAAAAAAAAAGTTACTCAAACAAAATTGTGATGACGGTTTGAAACATAACGCAAGCAAAAAGCTGCCCCAAACAGACACTTACTCATTAACTAATTGAAGTTCTATTAAATTCTTAAATATATTAGAATTAACTAAATTAAAAGCCTTATTGATTTTTATTACTATAAGTAGTTAAGTGATTTGTTAATTACTTTGTGACTAATAGTAACACAACTTTAATCATCTTGCTCTAACCCTAATTACTTCTTGACTAATTATAGTTGGTTATGAGTTGAGTAATTATGCCATAGTTATCATAATTAATGCATAAAAAATATCAATGAATATAGATAAAACTTTAATTAATCTTCAATTAGTCTAAATGATTCTTTGATCATTATTAATGTAAATGCTTGTTTATTAAGTTATTATGTATTCTATGTTTTTCAATGTATTTTTATACTAATAACTTTATAACAATATTTTATTTACGGGATGTATAGTTTGTTACAAAATGAGTGCATTGCATTGTTTTTGCAGAAACTTTAGGAATTTGAGTGTTCAGTCTGATGAATTCCACATGCAGCGTAAAATTATAATGTATTTGATTTTACATTGCATTTGTAATTTATTCTCTAATTCATTTTCAATGTATTTAGATTTTGATGAATTTGCATAAAGTGTTGCTTGTCGATGACCGTTACCCGTAGCTGTCATTGTTTGCCCTCCTCTAGCCCCCTTCTGTCGTTGTTGGCCATTATCTGCCCATCAATTGTCACCCTTCAATTACTGATTGCCCGCTACCGACAATTGACTGCACCTTTCCTGCTGCCAGCCACCCCTAGCTTGCTATCAGTTGTTGCCTGCCATCAACACCCACTGCAACCCACTTATCACAGTTACCATTGTTGAGGAACTCCACCCACCTGACCCACCGCCTGTGGTTATTGATCTTCGTCGTCCACCAACCACATATTTTTCATTAATTCTGTTTTTTTTTTTTCAAACCAAACAAGAAAATATAAAATCCTACACTTTACTTTACACTAAACCAAACATGTTTAGGGTTTCTTTGGTCAATTGAAACAACAAATGCAGTATAAAAAAATGTAAGATAATTTGAGTGCCTTGTATTATGAATACTGAGAAATTGTTCAGTTGTCTTTAAAATAAATGTGAGAATTCTTTTTCTATTTGGCTAGATGTATGCAGAGTAAAGTTAAATCTGATCATTTCTTGCAAAAATAATACAAGAAGGGAACAAAATAAAAAAATAAATGGTTATCTCAATCAAACAGCGTAGTTATTTCATGAATTACATACCTTTTTGAGGCGAAGAACTTTAAAAAAAATACAAATAGAAAAAGTAAAATTAAATTGAGACTAGAAAACAAAGCTAGACACAAGTGGAATTAGCATGAGATGATCACCTCCACCCTATTAGTTGGGACTTCCGGAAATCTTCCCTTCATCTCTGTTCACTCTCTTGCAAATGTTAACATCCATTTCTTTTACAAAACCCAATTATTAAAAAAAACAAAAACACACACACATTTGTTCCCTTGGATTTATTTCCATCATTCTACTTAAGACTTCCTTCTATTTGAAAAGAGATAAAAAAACAACCATTCGAAATTTGGTTGAGGCTCAAAAATCTTATCTCAAAAAAAATCATGGCATTTTACTAAGTATTTTACCAAGTATTATTTGATATTGATATTAATATTAGTATTAAATCATACTAAACAATAAAAGAACAATTTTAACTGTAGTTATTTAATGAAGGAACACACAATAACTCAAATCAAAAGAACACACATTAACATATGCACCTTAATACATAGCAAAGCCTTAGGCCAAAGGTTGATCAAGCTTAGCTTAACCCATGCTTAAGCAAGCTTATAGGCAAAGCTTGGGAATGAAGGCCTTTTTAGGCGCATGGATTTTGGTTGTTTGGCGCTTATGTTGCACCATGACCAAACAAGAAATGAAGAGAGCTACTGAAGATGCTTTAAAGCAATAATTATGAACCTCAGCCTTAAACAACCAATTACCTTCTACAATAATATATGATGCCCTCTTCTCTTGCAAATAGAAAATAAAACGAGCAAAGTAAGCTACCAAAACAAAAATAAATAAAGTCTCGGATTAAAAATATATATATAAGGTGTGGTTTGGTAGCCTATTTTAAGGAGGATTAGCATGTGGATTTAACGTAAATCCACCAAACATAAATTTAGCATCGCTAAATCCCACCGTCAGCTAAATCCATTTTTTCCAGTGTTGTAACGTAAATTCCATATTTACTAAATCCAAGATGAAGCTCTTAAAAAAAAAAGTTATATTTATATTTAAATTATGTTTAAAACGGCCGACAAATTAGGACGAATGCCTGCCTCATCGCTTTCCCTAACCTCATCTCTTCCTTCTAGCTCGTCCCACAAGAGAAGGTTTCTCTTAGCTCGTCACACAACATCGCACAGAAGAAGGTCTTCACTCCCTCTTCGCACATAAGAAGGTCTTCGTTCCTTCTTCCTTGTTGAACAGGAGAAGGTCTCTTCCTACATCCCAGCTTGTTCTTCGATTCTCCGTTGATTATATTTTTTTTTTATCTGCCCCACTTTTGTCTTATTTTTCTTCTTTAATGGCCACTGCTCTTCCGTATGACGAATCTGTTTAATTTTTTTCTTCTATTTCTTGCTCCCACGTTTTATTTTTTATTTCTAATTGATAATGAAAGGAATTAAGTTTCTAAAAGTCCATGATAGAGAGAAAACAAAAGAAACAAGTAATGAATTAAATAGACAAGGTCTTCGAATCCAAATGAAGATGAAAAACAATGATATTCAAGCTTAATATTCTTGGATCTTCATCCAACGTTCAAATCTTCAAACCGTTGTTGTTAAATCCTAAAAATTAAATGTAGAACACTTCCGGATTTAATTGGATATAACTTAAATAATACCAAACATAATTTGGATTTAATGTCACTGGAATATCTGGATTTATCGGGTTTAGTAAATCCTACTTAACTTAAATCTAAGTTGCAGCCAAACACCCCCTAAATGCACCATACTTTCTAGAATTAGGCTAACCTATCCTTCAAATAAGACACATAGGTCAATCAATGGGTACTACTTTGCATCAGCTCTCGCCTTAAAGCCCATTCGATATCATCAAATAAAGTTCAAAGCCTCCCCCAGTTCCTGGAGGATTTCAGACTCTAATCCCCGCCTCCTTAAAAATAGCGAACGCGATGATCGAGAAAAACCAATATCCAAAGCAGTCCAATAATTCTAACTCACAATACCAAACATCTACAAAAATTTCAAGAATCAAATTACCAAAAAAAAAAAAAAAAGATAAATGCCTCTCATCATTACCCTCGCACAGAAAAAGGCTTTTACCGGGATCTTATCGAGCAGGACTAATAGCACACAATTTAAAAGCTTATAATCCTGCGATCCAGCATTTGCTCAGTGAAAGAGACTCACTTCACTTTCATTCGAGCGAGGCGATCGGCGACGGAGGTGTCCTTCTCCATCTTCGGTTCCTTCACGCCGAAGGTGTAGCTCGAGAGGGGGTATACGTTCACAACTGGCGAGGTCGGGGACAACATCTTCCCTTCTTCGCTCTGCTCTGCTGCTTCACGCGCACTCGCGCGCAAAATTCCACAGTTTCGAGTTGGGAGTCTTGGGACGCCAATCAGGGAGAAGAGCGCCGCCGCCGCCTGAAGAAACTTCTGCCAGCGTCGCGCTTATTTTCGATGGTTTATGATTGGAAAAGAACGTCTATTGAGGGTTTTGAAGTATTTGTGGATTAAACATTTTTACTTAATCATTATATAGTTGTAATTAGAACTAGGAGGCTGTGTAATTACTCAACGATGGCGGATTCATTGGTCAAAATTTGTGGCCGATCTTTGTTTATTTTGTTGGGGTGTAGTCTGTGCTATAAAATCTCTAGCGGTTGAGTTGCGAATTATCGTCTTAATATTATACGAGAATTCAAGACACGCACAGATGAAAGAGAAACAAGCTATGCATATCCCTTTGTCCCACGGACGAGAATCATGGGGTATGACTCAATTGCGAAAATATACTATTGATTGATGATTACAAAAATCTCTTGTCCCACGGACGAGAATCGATTACTAGATTTTCATATTACTGTGTCTACTGACGGCGTCTGGTTGGTGGTGATTGATGATAGATGACAGAGGTCAACAGAAGTTGACAGCAGTCAACAACGGTGAGCGGTGGTCGATGGAGTTCGCAGTGGTTGACGGCGGACAGTGGTCGGCGGTGGTCGATGACTATCAGTAGTGGTTGATTTCGGTTGGCGATGGTAAACAGAGGTCAGCAGTGATCTGCGATGGTCGACGGCAGCCAGCCGTGGTCGGCGGTGGGCGCTGGCGATCAGTCATGGACTCATGGTTGACGGTGATCGATGAGGCAGGGATGATGTTGGACTTAAACTCTTTTTCAAAGCCTTAAGTTCTCTGTGACGCATCTCTCCCCTCATGTGAGGGTTTGGGCTCTATTTATAGTTTTCTGGGTGCAATTAATGAAATAATATGAACCATTTTGATCGAACGGGCCGAGAGTTTTCCTCAATTGGATGATGTTTGATGGTCATTTGAGTCCCTTTACGATGTCAAAATTGAGCAACCTCAGGCTCGTTAGATTTGTCTTGTCGATACGCTCGACCTGACTATGAACTCGCTAGATTTGACATCTGTTTGACGTTCCAAATGCTTCTGAAAATCCTTAAAGAGTGTTTCAATGATTTGATTCGGGCTTTATATGATTCGGATTGGACCAGTTTTTATATCATTTGATCTATCTCATCAAACTGGTTAGTTTGACTGTAAGTTTCCTGAAATTGAAGCTCTGAATGACTTTTAATTGAAATTTGAACATTTATTACTCAAAATATTATCTCGAGATCCATGTCATGCTCGAGGTTCGTGTCATGTGATGAAAATTTGTTGGTAATGTATCAGTTGCCCCCTTATTTTTTAGCGAGATCAACATCGTCGTCTGAAAATATTAAAATCATACACTTTGTATTTATCGTGATATTATTAATGTAATACTAAAAATTTGAATGTCATGCACTTAAATATATGGATTTTGGTGACAAAAAATATGTAAGAATTATGTGGCTATGTCAAATTTATATATATAACTAAATTATATAGAATAACTATTTTATTCACATCTAATAAGTGTTGATTAATAATAACGCATCATCAAACTGATGTGAACTATTCACAACATCATATATAATAAAATAATAACGTTTTTTTTTTTTCTGGGAGTTAACTTTTGTCGATAAGTGTAAACATAAATGTTAGAAGTGAAGATTCATATGATACATTAATAGTTTGAGCATTTAATGGCTCCATTTATTTTCCAGCCTATAAATAGTGCTAAAGGAGAGGGGGTAGAGTTCTTGTGATGTGTCGTGGCAGTGTATTGCGACGATGTATACTGTGACGTGTTGTTGGGGTGCATTGCAGCGACGAGATGCGTTACAGCGGTGCGTTGCGGATAGTCATCGCGGCGTCGTGTTGCAGCGGAGGGTCGTGGCGGGGCGTTGCAGCGACGCGACGCGTTGCGGTTGTGCGGCACATTGGATATCCAATGTCAAGTGAGAAGGTTATCATGAGGATAAATTGCCAGTGGCCTTTAACTTTGTTGAGGCTATGCATCAGAATGTTACTCGATGATGTTCACTTGTATAGGAGGAGCCAACTAAAGTCCACCGAGAACTTGTTAACCCATCCGAGGTTGTTTGTTGGAGCATTGCTCGCTTACGAACCTATATGGCATGGGTCAGAAGTAGTCCATCAATGATTGTTATCCTATCCAAGGTTGTTTACTGTAGTAAAAACTCAACGATGTTAACTCATATGAAAGAGGTTAGATCAAATCCACCGGGATTGATCGTGCTCCGACTAAGATACAACTTAAGTTATGTTTTTCTATGGTCGAGAGCATGAAGTGAATCGTGAATGAGCTATTACGCTTTCTAAATATATCTTTTATGTAGAGGAGAGTAAATAACTAGTATTTGGGGTTCATTGATCATGTATGAGTTGCTATGTAACAACATATGTGGACTTCATGATTGTGGTATTACTGATAGTACTTGTGAAGATTTTCTCAGTCCAAGTCCGGGGAAGGATTTTCTCTTTGAATTATTGAGCTTGAAGGTTCCAGACTTGAACTTGACAGCCACAATAAATGGGTATTCTCAGAGAGGTGACAATTTATTGCGTGGGGGACCATGACCGGCGGCTTCAATACTACACAAGACCTCAATACTACGCAAGACTAGGTCACCAACGAATATAGGTTGACGCTTGACTCTCAGGTTGAAGTGGCGAGCAACTCTTTTGTTGTAGGAAACAACTCTAAGATGGGCCACATCACTTGTTTTTTGGAGGAGATACAAATGTTGTTGAAGCTTTTCTTTTTTGTTATCTGAGTCGAAAGTCTTAACTCACGGGTTTAGATGTCAACTGGGTTAACAACCTCAGTGCCAAAACAGATGTTATATTGAGTTTCCAAGGCTGGAGTTCACACAGTGGTGCGATATGCTCAAAGGACATTGTGCAGCTCTTCTACCTACTGCCCCACAGCCTTCTCAGGACGAGTCTTCAACCCCTCGAGCACCGTCCAATTTTGTCTATCATATGAGAAAGCTAAAAAATTTTCCATCATTTTAACAAAATATGCAATTACTCTGGACAATATCACATCAAAATTTGCAAAGATTGTGCATTAGAACATTAAGCCAATTCATCCACCGTCACTTTAGTAACTATTTCTTCTATATGAAAATTAAATCTAACACATGAATATTAAATCATGAATTGGCTAAAGCATCTGTGATATTTTTTCAAACTCAACCATCAAGCTCTACAATGACTTACATTTTCTATTACTAACATTACTATTGATAGCATTGGAAAACAATGACCACCCGGTATGTTTCAATTTCGATGAAGTACGTATATGATAGGAAAACTTGTAGGAGTCTTCCTCCACTATTATATGAATGTTATAAGTTTTAAATTCCCAAAAAAATCTAATTACCCCATTTATAAGAAGTTCACTCGTGTTATCTAACTTAGCAGAGAAATCTAACACTCCCATTTATGTAAATTTTATTCCATGTACATCTGCCCCCTCAAACGCCCCCTTTGTAAGAATTTTATGCATAGCAAATAAGATCTTCATAGAAAAAGTTGATATATATCTTTCTAATAAAAACTTCACAGAAAATTAGAACTTCATAAAAAAAATCCAGTCTCTTCAATTATTTACATTTTAGAATGATTCAACAAAATCAAGAAATAAATGTGAATGGTTGGCTTCTTTCATCTTCTTCGTCCCCTTGAAAAATTAATTATAGAATTTTTGAATAACACAATAAGATAAAAAAAACAAACTTTTGCTGCATGTTTATCCCTCAATAAAGTAATTTCAAAGCTTTCAAAAAAAAAAATCCATGAACTTCGTAGCTTTTGCATCACACTAGAGAGGATGAAAAAATACCCCAAAACTATCAATGGGAAAATAGAGGAAAATTAAAGCCAAGACAAGGAAAAGTAGCACACAAACAAATTCCAGCCTTATCAAACTTTCTCTCAAAGAATACTTTATTGTTCAAAGAAAGTCACGGAGCAACAACGAGAAAACATGATCAAACCATGGGAGCGGATGTCAACTCAGCAAATTAATTCCTTAAGAGTTCAAAAGGGCAACACAAATGGAAGAAGGTAAAGCTCTTGGCGAGAGCTGGGGACGACGAAGAGCTTCATGCGAGAAGGCCAGGGCATGCGAGGTTAGGGAGGGCAATGAAAGAATTTTTTACGATCGGAACATAGAGCACAAGTGTAGACCTGTGACCTGTGATATTATTAAATTTCAAAATGCGGTTGTACAACATGAATCAAAGGGCTAATTAAGGGTCTATTTGGGGCAGCTTATTTGTGCGGGCGTCGTTTGGTTTGCACGTTCGTGTAGCTTATCCTAAAACAACATTTTGGGATCATTAATAGACGGGGACGTGGAATCGACCCCGCATCCCGCGTCTTCATTTAACATTCGGGTGAAATTTTCTCGCGTGCCGTCTGCTCTCTGCCACCCTTCACTTCGAGTAGGAGTGAGGAAGTAATGACTGCAGCAACATGAAGAAGACATTGACGTGACAAGCAGCGTAGGAACTAGAAGAAGATTTCAATGGAGAAGAAGAGAAGGTAAGCTTTGTGTTTCTTCCCAACCAGCCCTTCACGCGCTCCACCTACTTTAAATCCCGTAAATCCATATTCCAGTTGTTTTTTCAATTCGAGAATACATGTTATGTAGGATTGATAGTTATTTTTGCTCTTTGGCAGGATTTAGGTTATATTCGACTCAAATCCTCCTACTAAACAACCCTTTTGATTTTTTTAATGCTGGTAGAATATCCTGAATCAAGATATAAACTTGTTCTCATTAATTGTAATGAAATTTGTTAAATTGTTTTTATTAGAAAAAAATATTGTAAAAATGACTCTATAGTTAGTCTAGAGTTGGGTTGACAGACAATGCCTGCTTAGATGATTAAAAAAAATGATCATAGAGGTGAGATATTTACTGATTAAAGCTATAATATTTGGTAAATTTTTAATGCATTTACCTGGTTTAGAAATAGAGACATAATGGTCATTTATGTAGGATCTGCTATTTTCCAGACGCACAAACCAAACAATCAATCAGCTTATGAGGATCAACTGTAGATATGTAGCTTGTGAGGATAAACTACTTATCCACATAATGTCGCTTCCCAAAAGAGTTTTTTAGGGTGGTGGGCAGCCCATAACTTAAATACTACTTTTTGGCCCAACACCTAGTCAATGTGGGACTTTTTGTCCTTGACATTCTCCTCCACCCAATCACGTGACACCCTCGTCACGGATCGGCTCCACCAAGGGTCCCACTGGACCATGGAGAGTCTACACACCTCGCAGGTGGTAATTTATTACTGACACCACATGTCACCTCCCAAAAAAACTCTTTGGGGTGGTGGGCAGCCCAAGACTTAAATATTGCTTTTCAACCCTCTACCTAGCCGATGTGAAACTTTTTGTTCGTGACATTCTCCTCCACCCAATCACATGATGAGAGTCCACACATCTAACATGCAATAATATGATTCGATACCACTTGTCACCTCCCAAAAGAGTTCTTCGGGGTGATGGGCAACCCATAACTTAAATATTGTTTTTCGGCTCTACAACTAGTCGATGTGAGACTTTTTATCCGTGATATTTTTCTCAACTCGATGTGAGACTTTTTATCCGTGATATTTTTCTCAATTCAATCACATGATACCCTCGTCCCCTCGTCACGGATCGACTCCACCGAGGGTCTCACTGGATCATGGAGAGTTCACACACCTCGCAGGTAGTAATATGCTCTGATACCACTTGTGACCTCTCAAAAGAGCTCTTAAGAGAGGTGGACAACTCATAACTTAAATAATGCTCTTCGACCCTACACATAGCTGACATGAAACTTTTTGTGTGTGATAATAAGTTGAATAGACCCTACACATAGCTGACATGAAACTTTTTGTGTGCGATAATAAGTTGAATAAGGATTTAGGATTTAGGATTTAAGGTTTAGCTGCCCGAAACAGACCTAAACTAATTTGTTTGATAATCTGGTTTGGAAAGTGGAAACAAAAGCACCCTTACGCTTCGGCTCGACCGGATTCCGCCTGTGCTCACGAGGGTTCGGGGACGCACGCCACCCGCAAATCGCCGCCCTCTTTCGTATCGGCCAAGTATACTCACCGAGCCGACGGCTTGAACATAAACCAGCGATTGCCTCACGCCTCGGCCTGTTGCACTGCTCCAGGCGACGCCGATGTCGGTACGCCCTCATATTCTTCTATTTTCTAAATCAAATCTTCGAAAACATATGCTATCGTTGTTGTCCTTCTTCAGATCTTCGAGTACAATGGAAGCGCTTTGGTGGCGATGGTGGGGAAAGACTGTTTTGCTATTGCTAGTGATCGGCGCCTCGGAGTTCAGCTCCAAACCATCGCCACGGATTTCAGGAGGATTTATAAGATACATGACAAGCTATACATCGGTCTTTCCGGCCTCGCCACCGACGCACAGACCCTGTATGAAAAACCTTACTTTGTTGCTCTTCGGATTCGGGAATTGTTTTCTATTTTGTATTATAGTATCACATTTGTTCTTTCTCTTCGGGAATGTTAGGTATCAAAGGCTGGTCTTTCGACACAAGCTGTATCAGCTTCGTGAGGAGAGGGATATGAAACCGGAGACGTTTGCTAGTCTTGTATCTGCTCTACTATATGAGAAAAGGTATTATTAATGTTAAAGTAGTCCCAGATGGCGATTGACTGAGATCTCATTTGTTATAAAAAAGAAAACTGATTCTACACCATGGTGCTACAATGTTCTAGTTGTCTTTCAAGCAGAGTACTGACATAAGTAAAGATGAGTTTGCGAACTTTTGAATCCTATAATCTTTTAAAGTTTGTTTAATTAGTGAATCTCATGAAAGAGAGACCCTGAGCCACGTGGAAAGGAAGAACAATGAAACAATGATCAGTTCAAATAGTTTAACAAAGTTATAATTTAATCGTATTACTATAATGATTAATTCATCCTTTTTAAATAATTTGCTAGCCCATAAGTACTTTACTATTTATTAATCACTAATTTTAGTCTTATCAATCCATAATTAGTTATACTAGACAAATTATTCCAACTATGCGCTAGAACAAGAATTACTATGTGATTGATTAATACACATTAAATGTTTAATTTTAATTGCTCTATTTGTTATTAATCCATAATTAATACTTAATAATTTTTTGATTTGGCCAGTCAAATACTTGATCTAATTATTTCAATCAAACGATGATCATTCCTAATCATTGTTATAATTAATAAAAAGTCTATTTAATGTCTATGTAGACCTTAATTTTTTGTCATACTTATAAATTACTAACTAAAGCCTATTCAATCATATATGATAATTAACCTGATTAGTGAATCAAAACACTCATCAATGTTGTAATCATCATCCTCATCACAGTTATTAGCTCCATCCCAACTATTTGGGGCCACTTAATGAAGTATGAAATATAATACTTTTTAACCTAATAAGTTCACTTTAATAGCTGACTAAATTATTAATCTAAAAAAATACTCTAATAGTTAATATTTATCTAATTAAAAATTAATTAAACCTTAAGTGATTTTTAGCATATGCTAACATCCCTGTATAATTAATTTTTGTATATGCTGATATATCTACTAAATTCTATTATGATCCTTAGAGCTTGTGGTTGGAGTTGAAGTTAAGTTAAGCCATACAAATTGAGCTAAGTTTTTAAGCGGAGTTAAGTTATTTGTTTAGTAAAAAAGATAAGTTGTTGTAAGACAAAGTAGGTCAAGAAAATTGTTTGCTTTCATTTTGACTAACTTCATTTTGCTTAACATAAATAATATCATAATGCCTAATTAGGCATGAATTTTCATTGTTAAATTTCTTTAAATTTTTTCTAGTATTATTTTAATTAAAAAACTTATTAATAATTAAATGATTAATTAATTAGCACATTCTTAACTATTTTCATTTTTAATTAAATCTTAGTAATCATAATTAATGTTTTATTATGAGTAATTAAGTGGCTAATTAATTATCTCATGCTCAAGTATCAGAAGTATCTTAATTATTTTTTTGTAGTGAATTTTTTTTTAATTTTTTGAAATAAAATGATTTTTAAATTAGTACATGCTCAATTAGCCTAAATGGTATTATAATCTTAATTATTTTAATAAAATCCTAATTACCCCTTAACTATTTAAAATGAATAATCGAGTAATAAGTTTTAGTTCATTATATGTTTATTAGCAATTGTATAATTATCATAGTTAACTTGGCTTTTTAAGCTAATGCTTCAGCAAGCTTTAAGTCAAGCTTAGGATGAAGGAGAAACTTATCATAAGATAAGCTAGGTGCTCAAACACGAACAAATATTCCCTTTATTTCTCAATTCTTAACTGGTAGCCAGACAATTTAACATATTAAATGTACTGGCAACCGAAGAGTTTCTTTGATTTAAATAATTTGGATTAAGGAATATGAAGTTTAATGGGATTACGGCTTTTTGCTTGCATTACTTTCAAAACAGTTTTATGATCCATGTCCCGCTTCATCCTCCAACCTTGACAAACTTTTGGAGAAGTTTCATTATTTTTTTTATTTTCGAACTTAAGTGTATGATTCAGCATAATAGGATGGCAACAACTTTTTCCTGCATCCATGTTAGCTTCAAATGGACTATGTGCTATTGTTTGGCACAAAATCTCTGTCGTTTCTTCTTAGGCAATTTTTATAGAAAACACAAACTTAATATAAAGATTTATGTTGATGGCTTGGTGCTAAATAATCTTTGTTGGTATTAGAGTTGATGTGAAGTACCCTTTAGTGATTTGACGCTATTCCAATTTTGTTATAAGAGTGTTTTTGTCAAAATTAGCATCTAAACACATGGAATTTTTTTCCTTGGACTTTGTGCTGTCCATGGATTTTTACCTTTCTGGAAGTATTCTGACTGACAAAGTAAGTTTGTACATCATTGTAGAGGTCACACTAGTCAGAATATGGTGATAACTTTGGAACTCAATCTTGGACAAATATAACTGTCCTACTATACTTTTTGCCGTAACTTCTTTAGGAACTTGGGAAAAGGCCCAAAATGCTCATGTTCAATATATGCACACATTATTATTGTTATAAGTTATTACTTATAGAATGTTAACGTAATCAAATATTTTAGATTAGATAAGCTTCAATAAAGATGAATCAACATGCATTTTCCATTAATAATATATTTATTTTTATGTCATTACACATCTTTTTTGCATGACAACTTATTTGCCTTAATTTGTTTTTTCAAGTGCTAACTAATACTTGATTTTGAACTGCATGTATATTTTTAATGCCAAAGCTTTGTTGTGCCCGCTTGTGTGAAGCGCAGACCATGCAACCCATCTGGGCATTCTCCAACAAAAGTTAGGTCATGCACTTTTTGTTTAAGGCCCATTGGGTCTAGTAGATAGAGCATGGGCCAATTGCATAAGGATACACCCACACCCAAACTCACGCCCTCGTCCACATCTGCACTAGTCGCCTTGAATGGCTGTGTACAACGTTTTCCTTAATAACGTGATGTGGCATATTGGTTGCTTTAAATTCTTGATCCCTAACTTCAACACTGTATTGGATTTTTAGGGATTACATTCTCTTAAGCTAGTTTGGTTTTCACAATAACTTCCATGGCATGTCATTGTTTTGTTAGATCATTGTATATGGTACTAGTTTTTAGGTTATGATGAAATATTTTTTAGTAGAGGATGTTTGAAGATGGGCATCCATGGTTATAGTCATGGTGATAATCTTTTATTTTAAAAAAATTCCATGCACTTATATTTTTTGAATTTTCATTTCAAAAAGTTCCCCGTTAGGTTTTAAAAAAGGACTAGTATATTTTATATTTCCATTGGGTTATGGTAGTCTCACTCAACTCAAAACAGATAACACTCAATTGAAAATTAGAACGGTAAGGCCTTTGGTTTGCATTGTTCAACACAAGGTAGTCTAATCATCAGAATGCCATGAAGTATGAATATTATATTTTGACTATTTATTCATTACTATTTTAAGTTTTATAATTTTTTCCTATCCATGTTATGCTGATGGATGTAATTATAGATGGTTAATTTAGTATTTTCTTTTGCTCGGTGGTTGTGGAGGAGAGGGGTCTTTGGGCTTCCTTGTTATGGGAATCGTATACTGTCTTACAAAACAAATTTTATATTGTCAATATGATCATTTAAATTGTATCCTTGATTTTGTGCTATAAAAAATGCACTATAGGTAAGTCCACCATGGCTAAGGAAAAATTCAAATTACAGAGTGATAAAGAACAAAATGGCCAAATTTCAAAGTATCAGGATATTAAACGTTATATTGATAATTTCCATTCTCTTGTGCATATTTGTGCAACATATAGACATATGGTTGAACTTGAAAGAGACTTGAAATGGAAATGTCCAGGTTGAAAGTATTGGAGGATCAATCTTGATATGTTTATTTTGTTAAGATTCTTTATTTGATCTTAAACTGAACAAACCTTATTCACTTGATTGTTTGATGCACCAGACAGGATTATCTTGTTTTAAAACGTTGGGAGAGGCATTTAGATGGTCATTTCATGACTCACAATCCCTAGTGGTGGGGTAGTTTAGGTTTTATAAAAATAAATCATAAATTCAAACCTAGTTCACTCATTAGTTTTTGTGTTATGCGAGTGCAAATATAAAATAAAAGAGAGTCAATGAGCAATTAAAAGTACAAGTGAAGATCCACTAATGTATGTTTAAGTGATTAAGCACTAACCACCTTTGTCCAAGCCCTAGCATAGCTTACCTTGTATTTTAATTTATTCCGTCCATCGCTGAAGCTTGCTGAGAATTGCTTAGAAACTCTTTGCAAAATGTATATGGATGGCACTAAATATCTCAATGGGCTAAAATACGTAAGGAAGAACATTTGTGGTTTAAGAGTAACGGAAAAGAATGAACACTTGATGTTCTTGAAGGATTTACAATAAAGTCACTATTAGTTATTTTTACTGTCTGAAAATTGTTGAGTTTATTCAGACTTGAGGGATAGAAGGAAGTATCCAAGATAACACTCCCAAATTCTAAAAAAATCTATTATCTATTTGTGGCTTATGTATACACTTGTATTGCATGTATAAATTCTTTCTTGATTCGAAAATAGGTGTTTGGTATTTGTTAATTTAATTTATGTATGTTTTATTCAAAAAAATTTTCAAGTCATATCTTGTGCGTATGTATAGGTGCGTGCACACTCATGTGCATGCTAAGAAAATAAGATTTGAAAGCAGTTTTTAAGTGTCATGCATTCTTAAATTAAGTGACTTATTTTTAGTAAAACATTTATAAAAGTCTACAGGGTTTGCAAATGCAAACCAGTAAAGTCTTCCAGCTTTATTTGTAGTTTTCTTTGCTTTCCAGACATGGTTGATACTATCCTATGTTTTTTTATTGATTATTTCCCATCATAATTAAACCAAACATAAATAATATCATAAAAATCTGTTTGTTGTTGTTAAAATAAGTTAGAGATCCAAATTGAATATTGGAATCAACTATCCCTTCCGCTTTTAGGATAACAGATCTATATAAAGATTCAAATGACGTGTTGTGTAAATAACATCCCACTGAATGAAAATATGGAAATAGCTTGAGGGTAATTTCAT